GCACAGCTCACGGCTCTACACTCCCAGGAAAACTCCTAGTCTCACCCTGTCCCAATCAGCCTCTCGCAGCCTAACAGCCAATCGCCACCCAGGCAACTATGCATGCACAGTGCGGAAATCGGGGACCTAAGGTGAGTCATGCACTCTCGGGTCTCAATAAGCAGTCTGTTGGAGTCAGAGCGTGCCTGCCAGGCGTTTCCCTGGCTACATAGCACAAGCAGTGTGAAAGGATACCTTTTGAGGGTCTTGGTAGTTTGCAGATTTTTGATAGGATTTCCTATCTTATCCCCAAGCTTTGTCTCCTGCCACTGATACATGTGGCTCATTAAACCAAGGCTTTTGGCCACCAGGGATTAATAGATATTGGCAGATATGACAAACCTAACTCCAGGGCTCATTTGCTCCTGTAAATTCAAGCTTCCTTTCCAGAATGCATTCCTGAGGAATTTCCTTATTGACCTCCAGGGGAGGTGTAGGTGTGTGTGTGTGTGTGTGTGTGTGTGTGTGTGTGTGTGTGTGTGTGTGTGTATAATCCAGTATCATTAGGTACAATACCAGGATGGGTTTCTTTGAACTTCTAGTGTTGCATATTTCTATGGAGCATTTTCATGTGTATCATTTGGTTCACAACCATTCCACAAAGTAATCATTATTTCTATACTTCATAGATGAAAAAAACAGAGGTTGAAAAATATAAATGGCCCAGAGTTGCACAGATTCATGTATATCATGTCATATGTCATATATTATGCATTATATATGACAAATTTATGTTACTTAAAATAGTAAATGGTTTAATTTTTTTCTACAATCAAACTACTAATTATTCCCTAGATTCCAAACACAAACTTCTGAGAGTTCAATCTAAAGGGGTAAGATATCTGGAAGAAAAATGTAAATCAGAATGTTCAGAACTGAAGCTAGTAATTAATTCACCAGGCCATCCATGGTTACTAAAAAAGTTTTTTTATGTTTTATTTTGAATAATAATGTACACTGTTTTTACTATACACAAATGATGACTTCGTTAATATAGGTCACTGTGGCTGAGTCTTTTTTCTTTTTTCTAATCAATTATTGTTAAATACTGTTATCTTTTTAAGATGCCAGATTAACTGGGTACATGAAGACACTTTTCAAAGCCATCATCAATTGAACACAATTGTGTTGACTGGAAATCCACTGATATTCATGGCAGAAACATCACTTAATGGACCCAAGTCACTGAAGCATCTTTTCTTAATCCAAACAGGATTATCCAATCTCCAGTTTATCCCAGTGCACAATCTGGAAAAGTTGGAAAGTTTGTATCTTGGAAGCAACCATATTTCCTCCATTAAGCTCCCAGAAAACTTCCCAACACAGAACCTGAAGGTTCTGGATTTTCAGAATAATGCTATCCACTACCTTTCTAGTAAAGCCATTAGCTCTCTGGGGCAGGCCACCAACCTAAGCCTTAACTTCAATGGCAATGACATTAAATACATTGAACCTGGGGCTTTCCATTCCAGAGTCTTCCAAAGTTTGAAATTTGGAGGCACGTTTAACTTGTCTGTTGTGTTTAAAGGCCTACAGAACTCTACTACTCAGTCTCTCTGGCTGGGGACATATGAAGACACTGATGATCAAGACCTTACTCCAGCCATATTTGAGGGACTTTGTGCAATGTCTGTAGAGAGTATTAACCTGCAGAAGCACCATTTCGCTGACTTGTCATCTACCACCTTCCGATGCTTCACACAACTCCAGGAATTGGATCTGACTGGAACTCATTTGAAAGAGTTACCCTCTGGGATTGAAGGCATGAACTCTCTCAAGAAACTAGTTCTCAATGTAAATAGTTTTGAGCAATTGTGTCAAATCAATGCTGCCAGTTTCCCATCCCTTACAGATCTTTATATCAAAGGCAACCTGAGAAAACTTGACCTTGGTGTTGGGTGTTTAGAAAAACTAGAAAATCTTCAGAGACTTGATTTAAGTCACAGTGACATACAGGCTTCTGACTGCTGCAATCTGCCCCTCAAACACCTGTCCCACTTGCAGTACCTAAACCTGAGCTACAATATGCCCATTGGTCTCCAGGCTCAGGCGTTCAAAGAATGTCCTAAGCTAGAGCTCCTGGACTTGGCATTCACCCACTTGCATGTTAATGCTCCACAAAGTCCTTTCCAAAACCTCTCTTACCTGAAGGCTCTGAATCTCTCTCACTGCCTCCTTAATACCAGCAATCAGCACCTTCTAGAAGGCCTGCTGGATCTCCGGCTTCTAAATTTACAGGGAAATCGCTTTCAAGATGGGAGCATCTCAAAGACCAACCTCCTTCAGACAGTAGGCAGCTTGGAAATTCTAATTTTATCCTCCTGTGAGCTCTTTTCTATAGACCAGCAAGCATTCCACAGCCTTGGGAAAATGAGATACATTGACTTAAGCCACAACAACCTGACAGGAGATAGCATCAGTGCTCTTAGCCATCTTAAGGGGGTCTACCTCAATCTAGCTGCCAATAGCCTTGGCATTATCTCACCCCATCTCCTCCCCATCTTGTCCCAGCAGAGCACCATTAATTTAAGTCAAAATCCCCTGGACTGCACTTGCTCCAATTTTTATTTCATAACCTGGTACAAAGAAAACCTGCAAAAACTGGAGGGCTTGGAAGAAACAGTGTGTGCAAACCCGCCATCTTTAAGGGGAGTTCCACTGTCTGAGGTCAAACTGTCCTGTGGGATGACAGCCATGGGCATTTTCTTTCTTGTTGTATTTTTACTCTTGTTCGCCATTCTGCTCATCTTATCAGTTAAATTCCTTCTTAGGTGGAAATACCAGCACATTTAGTGCTGGAGGTTTCCAGAGATGGCAAATAAATGTGTTTAGCAAAATCGCCCTAAGTCGAGGAACTGTTGTCTGAACCAGGCTTCACAAATTGGTTCCTGGTGCTGGGTGGGGACTTCACTGTTTTTATGAGTCTCAGAACGAATGAACCTCCCTGAGAAGGTGGGTAGAAGTTGAGGGAGGGCCCATGGTAGGGAAAGTCCGAAAGAGTAACCCATGAGGAGGCCATTTTCCTTACGTTCACGGACAGCCTCCAAGCACCTCCCACCCTGACCCTGAAAAGAGACCTTCAACACCCACAACTTGACAGCACTGAGGACCCCAGCTCCTCACTCTCCCACAATTCAGGCCCTGTGCTTGGGTCTGAGTTCCCAGTAATGTAGCCCTTTGAGAAACTTGTTGGGGATAAAGTCTTACTATACATTTTAAATGAAAAAGGGAAGACACAATGAGTTGAAAAGAAGAGGCTGAGAAATGAATCTTGTTATCAAGTTGACTCCATTTATCTAAATCCTTAGGTGTGTCCAAGGTCTCTACAATGCCACTGGGTTACAAATAGTCACTAAATAAATAAATAAAGTAAAGACATCCTCTTCCAGGATCCCCCTCCGCCATGGTTTCTGGATTTTTGCTGCATTGGCCACCCTCCCCTGAGAACCAGGGGAGCTCCTTCTGTCAATCTGGTGCTGTCCCTCTTACATTATAGAGCTGAACTTACAGGTGGGCTGT